TCCAGGCTGAAATTTGACCAATAGACCTTTCTCGAAAATGGCCGCCGCAAATTCAAAATGATTAAAATTAAACTGAGCGGAAAATCAATACCAGCAACTGAAAGACCACCTCTTGTTTGGTAATCGTACGAAGTTTCATTAGGTTAGGTCAGTTTCTACCTGAGTCGAGAAAACGGAAGTTGAAAACTGGAAAATTTAGAGACGTTTGTATGCCTGGGGTATACGCCATACGCCATATAATATTAATATTTCCATCATCGCACACATTTGCATTCAAACTTGACAATGCTTTCATGAAGACAGCGTTGTTACTTACTTTTATCGTTAATTTTCATTTTAAAATACTGTAAGCTTTACCTAATTTTATCGAAGTAGCTAAAAATGGTACTTTCTCGTAATGGTGTTCTGTTTCAATTGTTAAAGCGTTTCTCTTTTTCTTTCAACTTTTAGACGTTCCGTGGTAACTACGACATCTATCACACAGTTTCACAGAAGATACTTCCTGTTATAAAAGCACGTTACATCAGGATTCATCCAAAACAATGGCGTTCATACATCGCCATGCGGGTCGAGCTGTATGGAGGACGTTTGAGAGGTGATTATATGAAGTATTGAAAGAATTGCAGCTATTGTTGTACGGTAGCAACTCTCTCCGATTACATAAAGCAAATCTGAGAAAAACACATATCTGGTCGTTATGATAGAGAAACATTAATTAATTTCGCTGATTTTTCATCTAGCCTGAGTAAACAGACGTCTCTCTTCATGCGCTCAATTCTTCATCCGCTCGAGAGACGTCTGAGATTCGAACCGAAACATTCCATACTGATGACATAGCTCTCAGTACAGAAACCGTGCTGTGTCTCTGATTGGTTGAACACTACTGAACTACGTTATCAGTATGGAATGTTTTGGTCGAATCCAATAGGTTATTTCCGAGTTCTATTTGACCTCTGTCTCAAAACGGACCTAGTGCAAACAGAAACCTTTCTAAATGAGTTTTACTCAAAAGTGCAAATCAAACTCATTTTCATTTGAATGGTTTTGCACCTGGACTCGTTTTGAAACAGAGGACAAAGGCAACTCGGAAATGGCTTATTAAGCGGGCGAAGAGAGACGTTCCTTTTCTCAGGGGACAATAGCTGTTATTACAGATGTCAGCGGTTTGACATGCAAACGAGGCGAATGTGTCAATCTGGCATTGTATTGGCCCATTTGCCTCGTTTGCATACTTTGGGAAACCAAGAATATTTTATTGTAGGCTCAACTGTAATAATATAGCTATTGATTTATCGGTGGGTTTAAAAAGACTGACCTGTTTCATATGAAATTTGTTTCATTCAGAAACTTTAGCGATGCCCCAGTGGGTCTTCAATCAGGCCGTATCAAAAACAGTCAAATCACTGCCTCTTCGTACTACAACAAATATCACGCACCCTGGCTGGCTCGCCTGCACCGAGTCAAACGAGGTGCTTATATCGGGGCGTGGTCTTCCCGCCATAACAACCACAATCAGTGGTTACAGATCGACTTTAAAAGAGCCATGAAGATCACTGGTATTGCGACACAAGGACGACAGGATACTGTCCAATGGGTGACGGCGTACTATATTTTATATGGTTATGATGGTGTTTACTTCACCAATGTGAAATACTGGTGGAATTATGTCGTCAAGGTAAGAGAGATCTTTTGATTTGATTATCACCGTCTCAGTCGGGGGAACTTGAAGTGCCGTTTTTAGCAAATCTTCGTTGAAGCACTCGAAGAGTTTTCGATTGTTATTATCCAATCAAGAAACAGTGCGAGCATTCACAAGTACTCCGAAAGCAATCGCGCCACCAAGTACGTCATGTTGCTTAGCAACTTGGGGACGAACTCCGCGAAAAATATTTCAAGCTTGAGTGATTATTGCATGTGAAAACATAATTCTTGTTTTTTCATTTATACAGACTTTCCAGGGTAACCGAGACCAACTGTCCATCCAAACACACCCTATCAACCAGCGATATATGCCCGGTATGTTCGAATCCAACCACGTGGCTGGAGGTCACATATTTCCATGAGATTGGAGCTGTATGCAAGTCCGTGGAGTAAGTCTGCTTTAAAACTAGTTTCCATATGAAATTTCAAAGAATGTTATTCGGCGCTTGGCATGGCCTCCTTGCATTCTCTCGTTTTGAGAGAATGCAAAAAGGCCCTGAGAGAAACTAAAATACACAAATGGCAACCCGTACGAAATTATCTGATCTGACTGAGCCTTACTCAAGCCTGAAACCTGAATCAGGAGGCCGAGGCAAACAGAGCTAAACAAAAGCCTCAGAAATAATTTCAGGTTTACCAAACTCATCGAATGTTTTGTAAGGCGCGGTAACTCAGGTCTGAATCCAGATCTAAATTCAGGCTAGTATTAACCTGAACGCATCGTAACATGTTGCGGCTGGATGACCTGATAATCGACTGTTTCGGAAAGTTTGTTTTGAGATCACAGCAAAACTGACTTTTATTCTAAAACATGATGTAGTTAAGGACAAAAATCGAGCCTGAACTCGAACAATTATCATAGATAATTTGAAAACCCAGGTTCAGTTTTCCAATTCCCATTCTGTAATTTTAATTACGGCTATTTTCTCTCTGTTATGTTTCGCTGGAATTGCCAAAAATATTCCGAGAGGGTAGGCGACTTTTAAATAACGGAACACAATGTGTTTTTAATAACTCCTTTAACTCCTCTAATTATATTAATATTTTCTTTGCTTCAGATCGTTGCGACATGCCACTTGGCCTCGAAGACAAGCGCGTCCCTAATCAAATGATGCGTTCATCGTCGTACTACAACTACCACTGCGGACCTTGGAGCGGGAGACTGAACGGCCGCAGAGCTGGTCGATACGGAGGGGCCTGGTGCGCAAAGAGACGAGACAGAAGTCAATGGCTTCAGGTGGACTTTGGCGCTCTAACTAGAGTGTCACGTGTTGCTACCCAAGGAAGACAGAACTCTGTGCAGTGGGTGAAATCATATTATCTTTCGTACAGCAAGAATGGCTACAAGTTTTACCTTACAAAGAAGGCGGCCGAACCAAGGTTAGTCGCAGATTTGCCCTAAAGTAGCTACTACCGTAAAGTTACAATCCCCACTTTGAGTTACTTTTTCGCTAACATGGATGACGTTATGGATTTCTATTGCAGGTGTTCCAAGGAAACTTTGATCAGCACGTGATAGTACGTCACAGACTCCGTCGTCCAATTACAGGGCGCTATTTTAGATTCCATCCTATCACGTGGTACAGCTGGGTATCAATGAGAGCGGAATTATATGGTTGTGTTGTCGGTGAGTTTAGACAACCTTAGTCTCCTAAATTTTAATTTCACTCTTTCAGGCTATTGAATCATCATTGAGAGCTTGCAAGCACTTTTTTATCACAAGTGCAAGCCTGAAATGAAAAGAGAACTTACTGCACCGGAGTATGAGTATTAGAGAACCTTTTCAAAACTTGCAAGCATTTTGAGCTTTGTCGAAATTTTGCTATAATCATAGTTTATAGAGCGAAATGGTTAAGAAGCACGGCAAAGTTCTTTGTTATATGTTTTTGTTCGCTATTTTGGGGGTTGACCGTGCACAAAACCTGACAAAATGCAATAGGTGATTACGTGTGTTCAAGCAACTAACCAATAGAAACGTTCGATTACGTAATTCATGCATAGTGTATGAGCTCAAAACAAAAGATGTGCACGGTCATGGACCTTCCAACATAAATCTTGGCCTCTTTGTCTGCTCCTTTGAAGTTTGCCGGGCTTCATAACCATTTCCCTCTATTAACTGTGCTATAATGTACCACAAAATTTGAAGTTATCATTTGCTACCCCTAAATTGGGCTAAGGTAAAAAAGCACCATTTTCACTAAGGTGGTCGAATTTATTGGGTGATTTTTCTTGTTTGGTAATAAACAAAAGTTTTTCGAGAACTATTACAGATTCATCGGAAAATTATTTGGGGTGATGAAAACAAAAATTAAGGAAAGCAAATCTTTTCTTTTAGGTGCAAGATGTGATAAGGCTTTGGGAATGAAAAATGGCCGCATTCGCAAAAATCAGCTTACGGCTTCGTCCAGTTGGGACAAAAACCACGGACCTAACAATGGCAGGCTTCATCTGCGCCGTATTGGCGCACAAATGGGGGCCTGGTGCGCGCGCCATAACAACCGTCTCCAGTGGTATCAGGTGAACTTTGGTCGCCCCACACGGGTGGTGAAGTTCGCTACTCAGGGACGACAAGACGCCCGTCAGTGGGTGACTCAGTATTACTTGACGTTTAGTCAGGATGGAGTGCATTATGCCGAATACAAAGAAAACAGCAATCGAAAGGTATTGTATGATGACGTCAGGATATCTTTAACGAGTTAAAGTTTGTTACAGTCGTGCAAATCGTTTACAAAAAACTTTTTCAAACTCATTAATAATTCGTTAAATTAGAACAGGAAATCATAACCAGGTCGGTGGTTTGGATACCTGGTCTTAATTAGCATCGCTTTTTACGATTTTATCTCTCAATTTACTCCTTAGGTTTTCAAATTTCGTCAAAAATACTCGGTGTTTGGAATCGGAAATCATAACCAGGTCGGTGGTTTGGATACCTGGTCTTAATTAGCATCGCTTTTTACGATTTTATCTCTCAATTTACTCCTTAGGTTTTCAAATTTCGTCAAAAATACTCGGTGTTTGGAAATCGGATAAAACACTTTCTCTCGTGTTTAATATATTACATAAAAATCCAATCAATTGATTGAGGCTGCGAGATTTAGTATTAATATAAAACTGTGGAAAATATGAGATAAATAAGAGCAAATAAATATTTCTTTCGAATCTTTCTCCTTAATTATTGTTTTTTTTTTCCGATTTCTTAGTACTTTACGTTCCGTTACAAGTATTCTTAACGTTTTAATCCATTTAATTTTCATTGTCTCTGTTTAAAAAAAAAAAATAATCGCTACATCAAAATATTCGTGCCCGTGTGAGGATCGAACTCACGACCTTCAGATTTCTAAATCAGATTATGAGACTGACGCGCTGCCTACTGCGCTAACGAGGCACCTGTGTATGGTATCAAGATTTTATAATCTTTGTCCATGTGAGAGCGAATTAACTAGAGCACTTGGAATTTGCTTGGTGAAAGTCAGCACGGTTTTCATAGTGATTAAATAAAACTGTTTTTCAAACGTTATTGTTTAGAAAATCTCACTGAATGGTTACAAACGGAAAGAAAATTAAATTGTTATTAATCCTGGATTAGCTTAATAGTGCTTTAAGCAACCCTGATTGTTTGGTGAAACTATTTGCGACTGTCTTTTTGTGTTAAAAAGGAAGCCTTTTATTAACAAAGAAATTTAGCTGTTGCAATTCATACTGTAATGCTGACTTGATTGATTTAAACAACAATGCAACGTCTTATAAATATTGAATGTCCCTCTTCTGTTCTTATTTTAGTACTTCAAAGGAACAAAGATCAAAACAGTGTTGTTCAGCACCGACTGTTCCCTCGAATCAAAGCTCAGTACATTGAAATTCATCCTTGGGGCTGGTACAGACATATTTCCATGAGAGTGGAATTCTATGGATGCGGTGAAGGTAAGACTTAATCTATATCAGAGTTGAAGGATGTGAGTTGTACGAACGTAGGCCAAACGAGAGAAAACTCTCGACACCTCTCAAGAAAAAATTCACCAGGTTCAAATGCGATGAGAGCGCGCAAGAATCGCTGAGAGCGTATACAGTCGGGGGAAGAAGTACAATTTTTGGCAAATTTTCGTTGATTACAGAAGCAAAGAGTTTCCGATTCTTATTATCCAATTAAAAACTAGCGTGAGCACTCACGAGTACACGCCAGAGGATGCATCATGTTGCTTAGCAACTTCGGGTACGAAAACCGCGGGCTCAGTTCCATCTCGGAGGCGGGATTTCACCATCAACTGGTACTTGTTCCCTCGACTGTATGATAATTTTAGGTTGTCATCGGGCATTTGCATATTTACCAGGAAATGCAGGAAATATTCCCTCAATTTTCGGCTGAAAACGTTTCCTGCAATGTTCCATACAACTTGTCTTACAATTTTGTTGCGTCGTTGCGAGGTAAGTTGGAAGAAACATTGCTACGTGTAACACCAGGCAATGCACACAGACACGCTACAGCGTTGCCGGAATCGTTACGAAAAGTAGAACTTGATTCTACTTTGTGTAGCGCTTTCTGCAATACAAACGTTGCGAGACATGTTCATTTCAGAATGTGTTACAATTTTTTAAGCGAACTTTTTTTGGAAAAAAAAAATTGCTAGACAAGTTCCGGAAAAATTGCCTAGTGTAACAGCGCCTTTAAAAGGTTATTTCAAGCGAGCAAGGATTAATGTAGGATTTCACCTTTTGTGATATGTTTAGATCGCTGTGTTATGCCCGCTCGGTTTTGAAGATAAGCGTATCACTGATGGTCATCTTACTGCGTCAACTTACTACAACCATAACCTCTCACCCTGGCACGGCCGACTGAATAACCGCTGGTCATGGAGTGTGCGGCTCAGACGTGTAGGACAATGGTTTCAAGTGAACTTTGTTGAGTTGATGCGTATAAAAGGCGTGGCTACTCAGGGAAGGCAAAACGCAGCTCAGTGGGTGAAACGCTATACTGTCAGTTACAGCGTCGATGGAATGAATTTTGTGCCTTATAAGGAAGGTCGCACTACAAAGGTAAATATATTAATTCTACTACAACTACAGTCAAATAAGAAATAATCTGTGAATAGAGACAAATCAAAACAGTAAAGAAGTTCTTAAAGACGTGAATTTTGAGAATTAAGTCGTGTTCTATTGGGATCAATTGCAACCGTTTCCAGTTGGTTGGGTTTGTTGGATTTTTTCGTGTTCTATTGGGAAAAACCGTTTTCGGTTGGTTTGGTTGATCATTTTTTTCAACCGAACCGAAACTAGGTTGAAACGGTTGAAAAAGGTGATCAACCAAACCAACCGAAAATAGTGACTATTCCCAGGAGTTACCGCGTTTCAACCAAAAATGGTTTGAAAAGTGTTCTATTGGGAAACCTCAACCGTTTCAACGTAAACCGGTTGTCGTTGAAACGGTTGTTTCCAATAGAACACGACCTTAGGGCCTCCACAAACTAGAGAGATCATTGTAGACAATTATTTAGTTGTCGATGATAAAAAGTTGTCGATAACAAAAAAGCCAGTGTGTGGAGGTAGTTATCGATAACTAAGGGCCTTAGTTATCGATAACTAGCTTCACACACTGGCTTTTTTGTTATCGACAACTTTTCATGATCGACAACTAAATAGTTGTCGACAACTATCTCTCCAGTCTGTGGAGGCCCTTAGTTTCTAAAGAAATTGTTGTTAAGGTAATTCCCTGGTAATAGAACCAAACATAGATTTCCGATGAAACTTGGTACACTTTTGTAACAAGTCAAGGAGATAATAAAAACGTGATAAAAAGAGGGGGTCACCGTGCTCGTTTCCACGCCACAATGCTGACGAGTGCGGTCATTTTGGCCCCTTTTGGCAAAAACCGTGCGCAGCAAATAAGCTCGATGTTTTTCAATGCAGCCGTCATATCGCACAGAGTTTGACTTTATTCCATTGTTTATTCACCGACGTTCCAGAAAAATGTCTTCGATTTCCTTTGTATTTACTTTACACTCCAAAGTAGATTCAAATTGGATATGCGCTGTGGGGCCGTAGTGGCTCCCTCCGGAGAATTTAGTTAAATTGCCAAAAAACTGATCATAGATTTCTGCCCATCTTTTTCTTGTGTAATGTAGATACTGTTCTTATTAAAATTATGAAATAAAAAATGGGGGTCACCGTGCTTGTTTAGAAGAAAACGACCATTTATTTCCCAGCCAAGCTTTGTCTGAAAGAAATCCTGTAATGTTCTGTATGTGCGCGCGCTCGCACTCGCGCTAAATGACGCGTGGCGCGCGCAAATGACGCAATAAATTATGCGCAGTAAGGATGCGCAATGCAATACCAAGGAATCACCTTAAAAACACCGATAACATCAAACGATTTTAAGTCCAAAATAGCCAAATGATTGCTCAAAGACTATTTCGTCTATTCCAAAACCGAATAATTGTTGATTCAAAAGTATTTGCGCGCGCTGCGTGAGCGGCTAACTGAATTTGCGCGTGCTTAAAGTTCTTGTCGATTGTGACGTCATGTTGCAAACACAGACATTTGCTTGATGCGTTTTTTATTTTATCCGATGCTGTAGAGGTTTGGAATTGCGCTAAAATGTCTTTTTTCCTCTGGAATGGTAAGAAATATCCCCGTTTTTCGAGGGTAATTATGAAAACTACTTAATTTACACGTGTAAGACAGTGGTGGAGGGAAAAATTACTGATCTAATTTGAAGGATGTATAAATTCGTTGTGAGAAGTATGTGGTCGCGTTTTCAGTTTTCCATCTATCTGTTAATTTTCCAGCGGATTTCTGACAAGTGTATCATAAAGATTTTTAGTGGAAAACTGAACACCTGTCTATACTATTTATTTCAAGGGCTTTGTATAACTGAAAATCACTGTCAGTGCGGAGAAAAAGAAGATAGAATCTTCTCAAACTCATTAATAATTCATCAAGTTAAAACAAAGGAAATCATAACCGTGTCGGAGGTTTGGATACCCGGTCTTAATTAGCATAGATTTTTACGATTTTATTTCTCCGTTTACTCCTTAGTTTTTGTTTCGATTGAGAAGATATATCAAACACTCGAGACAGTGTTTCATCGGCTATCCAAACACCTCGAATTTCGTCAAAAATACTCCGCTGCGCGTCGTATTTTCAACTCCATTCTCGGTGTTTGGATATCCTGATGAAACACTGTCTCTCGTGTTTGATATATTACATACGCAAGTTTTAAACGAAAAATAATATAATCGCCCGATATGGGACTTGAACCCATGGCCCTCAGATTAAAAGTCTGATGCTCTACCGACTGAGCTAACCGGGCGGCTCGCACTTTCTTCCTCTTTTTAAACACATTTAAATATTCGCCACCTGTGTTTACTTAGCTGACGGTAGAAAATCTTTTTTTACTTTGTTTGTTTTCTCAGGTCTTTGATGGAAACACCGACCGTCATTCCATTGTGTATCATCAGTTTACCAAGCCCTTCACGGCCATAAATGTCCGTTTTTATCCGAGAACCTGGCACATCTGGATATCTATGAGGGCTGAGGTTTATGGATGCTCAGGTATATTTATAGCCTGCGTAGCTGGCGGTCTTGTTGGCGCGCGAAGTAAAAATTCCGAAGCGGCGAAGCCGCGAGAGTCTGGGGCGGGGAGGATTGAAAGACCGCGACTTCGCATTGTTGGCAAAGGCCAGATATGAATAAATTATTGTGCATGTATAACATAACAGCTATTTAGTGAATGGTTTTAACCCAGGAATATCAGTAGTTCGTCTAGTATGATCGTCCAGGTGAGTGTAGTCCTGAAAAGCACTATTGTGGTTAAAGTGACAACCTGAGCGGAATTTCCTCTCAGGTTGTCGAAACGTTAGTCACCAACCTGACAGTCCTTTTCAGGACTACCCTCACCCGGACGATCACACTAGACGAACAACCATTAACAATTATTGAACATCATTAAACATTTACACAGCTGCCCCGTGCAACAAGCCCCTAGGATTACAAAACCGTCGACTCCCAAACAGCCGAATGACCGCTTCATCGGAATTCAATCAGTTTCACGCCGCTAGACTGGGGAGACTGGGTCAAGTTAAACGCGGTCGCTATGTTGGGCCTGGTGCGCACGACACAACAATCATGCGCAGTGGTTCAAGGTGGACTTTGGTCGACAAATGAAAATCACCAAGATAGCTACGCAAGGCCGACAGGATACTAACCAATGGGTGAAGTCGTTCTATCTGTCGTCTAGTCAGGATAACGTCCACTGGGAAATGTACAAGTTTAGGAGTGGATACAAGGTGATGAGAACATGTGTGCACGGCTTCCCCCCCCCCCCCCCCGCCATTTTGAGGTCAGAAAACATGTTGTGAAATACAGTGTTTGCACCTTATTCATAAATGCCGCG